GGAGGGGAGGCACAGTGACTGGCCCATCGAAGAAGCTCAGTCCTGATGATGCTACCTGCTGACCCCTGGCCGGTACCGCCCACCTGCTGTAGAACCCCGAAGTAGTATTGAGCTGAGACTGCTGATGTTCATAGGGGGAGAGCACGGGAGGGGAGGCACAGTGACTGGCCCATCGAAGAAGCTCAGTCCTGATGCTACCTGCTGACCCCTGGTCGGTATCGCCCACCTGCTGTAGCATCGAAGAAGCTCTGTCCTGATGATGCTACTGGCTGAACTCGCCCAGCAGGTGGCGCATCTGCTGGTGGGTGCAGCTCCTGCATGTTCCCTCGTTGGAGGCTTGAGCATGGATGTGGCAGCCTCATTGCGTGCTTGACTTGAGCACAGATGTGGCTGCTACGGGGTTCCCAGTAAATACTATAATGACAATAAATTTTAAAAAGGCCTGAAGGCCTTTGAATTGGTTGGGCTTAAAGATCTAGCCTCCTGTCCAAAGAAAAAAAAAAAAAAGAACCTGTCCAGCTTCGGTTTAACCCATCAAGACCAGCTTCCTGGGGCCTGGTCCCATCAGCAAAGAAGAGGATTGGATTTCAATCCTGAATCTATACATGCTTCTGGAGAGATGCAGAGAGTTGCTATTGATCTGCTTTTCTGCATCTCTGTGCACAACACATCCAGATTCAGGAATTAAATCTAATCCTCTTTGCCAATGGGACCAGGCCCCTGCCCTGCTATTGACAGGTCTGCTGACAACTTGTACACTGGGCCCTCTGCTCTTCTGGATATCATATCTCCATCTAGTCTATCTACATCATCATTGCAGGCATACTTGGGAACCTGCTGGGAGACGGCCCCCTATTTCTTTTCTTTTCTTCTTCTTCTTCTTCTTTTCTTTCTTTTCTTTTTCTTCCCCCCCCCTATTTCAGGTTGAAGATGATATCTCAAGGCCAAATTAAAAAAAAAGAAAAAAAAAAATGCAAATGGGCCTGCTGGATCTCGAATCTGCAGCTCTATTGATCTGGAGCTAATGGAGCTGCAGCTTCGTAATCCAGCACTACAGCACTATTTGCAATCGGCCAACATTTTGAAAGCATCTGGACAGTCACATTGTCCATGTGCATTCGAAATGTTGGCGGAGTAATGCAACTACACCGCGAGGCCCGGGGAATATGGGCGGAATATAGGGGATATGGACTGAATATAGCACAGTACATGTTTACATCAGACGGCCAGTAATCGTTCCATCGTTCCACCTGGCCGAAGGCGATTACGTACCACCCAAGAACCAGAGGTGGGAGGGAGGCACCCAACGGCCCCCCGCCCAGCTGGCGGCGCTGTTCCTCTCTCTTTTTTTTTTTTTTTAACGAAGCTATATTCTTCTCTCAATTTCATCTGTTTATATTCTTCTCTCAAATTTTTCGTCATCTTTCAAATTCTTTCAATTCACCTTCACTAACTACCTACCACTACTCCTAAGAGCCTCGTTCCACACCACTTGAGAACTCTTGAGTTTCAAGTGCGCCCTAATCGCAAAATCTTGATTAATTTACACTACGCCGCCTCCTCGTTCCATGCACACTAGAGACCGAACTTGAAAATGTCGGACTTGAAAGAAAAACACCCTGGCTCCCCCTTGTGCGGAGACCCACAGGCGGGTTTTCGATCCAGTAGGCCGGCACCCGGCCTTGAATATGTCCGCCTACGATGTGCCATTTGGGACTCTAGGGGCCGGTCGGGGCGAGGTGCAGTGTGGGAGCGCGTGGGTGGTGGGTTTTCAAATTCAAAATCTGTTGGGGGTAGAGTGCGGCGCTGCGCAGCCTACAGAATTGCCATGCGCGCGGAAGTGGATACGGGCTTGTACTGCACTTGGACGCGTGCGAGGGCAGTGGACACCGCCGCCAGTTTCCTTTCGTCGGGAGTTGTTCGTTGCACCGTGCGTTGAGTGGACTGCCATAGCTCTTGTCCATGGAGGACATCCAATTTCCGTGTGTGGCGGCGGACGGCTCTGTGCCACCTCGTCGAGAACTGTCCCAGCGTGAGAAACGCCTGGTGGTTACAGTGTTGCTCGCCGTGTGGACACATCTGCAGCACACAGCGGCATTGCGGCGCAGTCCGGCTAGAAGAGCTGGGGTGAGGGAGGCCATCGTCGCGCACGCCATGGCGTATTCGAATTCGTCCACCACGGTTTGGGATGCGCCGTTCCTTATGGGAGACGCCACGGTGGTGGATCCGGAGGAGAACCGGCGGAACATGGCAAGATCTCATAATTGATGATGACGCCACAGACGACTATTTCCACGAGAAGCTACGAATGACGAGAGGGGCATTCTACGACATCGTCGCCGCCTGCACTCCTTTTCTTCAACGGTCCCTCACTCATTACCGCACTCCACTGATGCCGGAGCAGCTGGTGGCGTTCACTCTGTACAGGTGGGCGAGCGGCGAGACGTTTGACAGTGCAACGTCGTCATTTGGGATGGGGCGGTCGAGTGGTATCAAGGCGGTGAGGGACGTGACGAACGCTATCTTGTTTGCGTATCCGGACAAGATAGCGATGCCAACAGGTCGGCGGATGCTGCAGGTTACACGAGCGTTTGCAGCTA